CAGGTCAAACGCAGGTCAGAAGCAGGTCAACTGCACATACAGAAAGGGATGGAGATGCTTCTGGCATGCTCTTGATGGGGATTCCTGTGACATCATTAACCTAATAGGGCCACATGGCCATATTTAATCAATGCCATTGACCTATTAAGGCCATGTGGCCACTTTAGGGTAATTACGTCACGGGCATCTCTGCCCCTTTGTGTACATGCAGCTACAGGGAATCCCCCATCCGCAGCTCATTGACCTGGAACTGCCAGCTGCTTGCCAGGTTTGGCTGAACATGGGTTCAGACCAAACCCAGAACCTATGCTCTTACCTATTAAAGTAAACGCAAGAATTAAAAAATCTGCTGACAATTATTATTATTATTATACAGTATTTATATAGCGCCAAAGGGTATGCTCAGCGCTGTACAGTAGCAAGGGGGACAGAACATGAGACAAGACAGTAACAATACACTACACGAGGGGTTCGAGGGCCCTGCTATTTCGTGCTGACAATCTAAAGGATGATTGCTAGCTGTGATCTATTGTTGCTGGGGGTTAAATTGTTGCTGGGAGGCATCTACTGTTGAGGGAAGAGTCTATTGATGCTGGCTGCTGGAGGGTCTATTGATGCTGGCTGCTTGGAGATCAATTGTTGCTGGCAGGGGTCTATTGTTGCTGGGGGGAATAGTATGTTGCAGTGGATTTATTGTTGCTGCGGGGAAATGTATTGTTGATTGGGGGATCTATTTTTACCGTGGGGGGGGTCCATTGCAGGGGATCTGCGTTTTTTTGCTATCATCAAAAAATCCCATGCAAATGACCTAGCACCACAAAATGATACTTGGTTCTGCATTCTCTAAAAGGAGCAGTACTGGGAGGTGGGTAAGGGGTGGAACCAAGGGCCAGTGTTTGGAGGGGGATAGGGGACAGAGACAAGGGGTGACTCAGAAGGGAAGTTCCTGCACCTATTCTCTGAGAAAAAAAAGCCTTGGAAATTGGGGTTCTCTTTTGGGGAGTGTCCCCCTAAGCTACTGTCCGGACACATTTTTTACTAAAAGGAGGAAGTATTAACATTTCTAACAATGTGATCATTTCATTCTGTGTCTTCCTGTTTTGGAACTGATTCCCATTACCATGTAAGGGCATCAGAGAGACAGGGAGTGCGGGAAAATCTCCCTAAATAGGGTTACAGACAAAACTAATAACTGGAAAAATTGAACTCTTTCCCACCTTATCCAAAACATGAATTCGAGAATAAGAGTTGTATGCAGTCATGTATATGCCAAAATCTATTTTTTTTTATTATTTCTTGCACACAATAGGACATACAAAGTGAACAAAGCTTTTCCTTATCTACCAAGTTAAGTGAGCGTACACCTTGCAAAGTGACCAACCTCCACTCCTTTAGTCAATCGACCCCACTGAATACTGTAAACACATTTAATCTGTCCCTTTACATAGTCACCACCTTCCTCTAGAGAACGAAGTAGGTGAAAGGAAATATTTTACTGTAAAATGTATATGATAAAATAATAATACACAAATGCTGTGCATTCATTTATAGGTAAGTGTAGTGGTTTCGCTAATCACTATGATTGCTCCATCTGCATTTGAGCTGGTAGCAGCCTTGGAAATGTATCATCCTAGAACTACATTACGCTTCCAGCTGGCAAGGTAGGTATTTTGTAATACAGACATCAGCAACCACCAATCTACATATCTCTGGAGGAGGACTGTAACCAGTGTGCCCCTTGGGCTTTTTTTTTCTTTTAAAGGGTCCTTGTGTTGTACTTGGGGAACCTGTACAGTTTGATTATTGCATTGCTGGACAAAGTTAATAGCATGAGTGTAAGTACAAAGGTAAAATGACATGTTGGGGGTCATGTGCAAAACCTACATACCTTGTACATAAAGATAAATGAATTTAGGGAAATTCATCTGAACATTCTATTTTCTCCTTTTAATAATACTAGCAACTGTGTGTCTGTTCATTGAACAGGCTAAATATGGAAGTGTTACCACAGTGTACATTGGTACAGTGATGGCAAGTAATGAGGTATGCATCACTGCAATGGGAGTGAGGGTAGAAGCGAGGTTGGTGTAGTGGAGAGTGATGTAGGATCATGTGGAAACGGTGGTGAGAGCTAGATGGAGAATAGGGGTCAGGCATTGGTTGGTGTGTGCAGTGTGGTGTGGGTGGAGGAGGTGTAGGTCAGTGGCATTAGTGAGAGAGCATGGGGAGTAGTGGGGAGGTTTCAGGCATGGTGATGAGAAAGGGAGTGTGTGGTGGTGTTCAGGGGGTTGGTTGAAAGCATGGTGGTGAGAGGTGCCTATGCAAGAAACTGTCAGCTGTAACTCCAGATGCAATCCTCCTGGCCAGAAGCAGAGGTAGGAAAAGGGACATTGCTGGTGTGAGCTGTCAGGTCAGAGATTACAGTGCCTGTGCAAGCTGCTACAGAAGCCAGGCAGTAGGGAGCTGGTAACAAGGTCAGAGTTTTAAAGACCATGACCAATTACAGCACAGACTTGCCTGCTGTATGGACCACTCAGGAAGTGCTACCTGCTGGGTATGGCTGTTGTGGATGGTGCTGGTGTATAGTTAAACATCAGTGCTACCAGTTATGCATAGTCATAACACGGGGTAGATTTACTAAAACCGGTGTACTCAGAATCTGGTGCAACTGTGCATGATAGCCAATCAGCTTCTAAGTTCAGTTTGTTCAATTAGGCTTTGGCAATAAAACCTGGAAGCTGATTGGTTTCTATGCAGAGCTTCACCAGATTTTGCAATCTCCAGTTTTGGTAAATAACCTTCATTTAGTTGCCTCAGATACTAAATACAAAAATCAGTATGGTGACAACTTCAGATCCAGCACCTTAAAACCTCTGCTGCTGTATTAGATGCTTGGCTGCCATGCTGATAATTTGGCTTTGATATTTTCTAAATCATTGACCATAAACATGAATGCAGATGAGTTCCAACTTTTCTTTGACTTTAGTTGTTACTTGGCTGTTCTAGGTCTCTGTCCCCAGAATATTGAAGTCAGATTTTTTCAGGTTTTGAAAATGTGCTGTTTCTGGCCAACTACCTTTTTTTATTTGAAGTCTATCCTAATATAGTATATACACTCTATTGCCAAAAGTATTAGTCGGCCTGCCTTTACACGCACATGAACTTTAATGGCATCCCAGTCTTAGTCCATGGGGTTCAATATTGAGTTGGCCTGCCCTTTGCAGCTATAACAGCTTCAACTCTTCTGGGAAGGCTGTCCGCAAGGTTTAGGAGTGTGTCTATGGGAAGATTTGACCATTCATCCAGAAGCGCATTCGTGAGGTCAGGCACTTATGTCGGACGGGAAGTCCTGGCTTAGTAACTCCACTCTAATTCATCCCAAAAGTGTTCTATTGGGTTGAGGTCATCACTCACTTCACTGGAACTAAGGGGCCGAGCCCAACCCCTGAAAAACAACCCCACTCCATAATCCCCCCTCCACCAAACTTTACACTTGGCATAATGCAGTCAGGCAAGTAACGTTCTCCTGGCAACCACCAAACCTAGACACATCCATCGGATTGCCAGACAGAGAAGCGTGATTCATCACTTCAGAGAACACGTCTCCAATGCTCTAGAGTCCAGTACAAAGTCCAGTCCAGTACAAAGTAATTATTTATGCTACTCCACATGCACCACTTATTGGTGTCATTTTGGCTTATCATAAAGACTCTACATGACCTCAAGAGTGAACCATCATGAAGTGACAGTGCTGCGGATCCCCTCTAATTTGCAGCTATCCTTGTAGATACTCACATTTAGCTCCCAGCACAAGAAGTCTATTGTCACTAACAACTTACAATATTTCTGGCTTCTATATGTCACATGATCTACTTAACCCTTTGAGGACCAAGGGACGTATTAGAGTTGCAAATAAGTTATTAGAAAACTTCCAGTACTGGGAGCTGGTATATGTGGGGACCACCAAAGGTTAGAGAAGATCATTAGCACTGCCAGCTAAAAAGTACTATTTCATACATGTAGGCAGGGGTAATTAGAACATGTACTGGCCACAGGTAAACTGCTTGGGCCCTATCTGAGCAGAAATCTAGGGGTCTCAGGTATCCTTAAAAATTAAAATTGCAACAGAATTTACTGGTATGTGGTATTGTACTATTGGAAATCACTGCTGAAATCATAGTATTTTCTTCTCAGAGACTAACAGAGGGGATAATTAATACAAAATGGATCAAAGGAAAACAGGGGTGTCACATTCTATTGCTTCAAGGACCATGTCAGCATTATGATTGCCCTCAAAAGGCCAGTTGTGTCTGTAAGACAAGATGTCCAGAGCACCCCCCCCTTACATCAGATGTCAAGAGCACCCCAATGTAAGAAGTAAAGAGTCCCCCACCCTCCCTTACCTTGCGCTGCTGCTGGGAATAACTGCCAAAATCTACTGAATGCTGAGACCAGGTGAGGCGAAGATGAAGGGGTGCTGTAGATGTCAAGATAGGCATAGAATCTGTAGGAGGAGTTCTGTCTGCTGCCGACTGCTGAGACACGATGAGGGCAGAGGTGAGGGGGGGTGCTATAGCTGCAGGAGAGGTGCAAGGGCCACATGAAATGGTCTAGCGGGCTGGATTCAGCCCGCAATCCTTGTGTTTGACACGTTATGCAAAGTAAAGGAAACATAAAGCTTTAGCCCTACATAGTAACGAACCAAACTGTACAGTTAGTAGAATGTCAGGTTGAGAACAGATGTGTTCAACTACAAAAAAAATGTATATTTCATATACATTTATATGATAGTGTGTGTATAAATATAATAAATAGACACCTGTACTGTTACATGAATATTATTTAACATATGTAACAATGTGTTTCAGAACAGTAGCAATAACACCTTCATGGATGCAGCCCCACTTTATGCCACAACAGTCCCTGTATTATCTAAAACCAGTCCTAGTTATGCAACGGATAGAAACTCCACATTTGCAGTAGAGATGGATCAGAACATTACAAGAATCATGGTTGCCATCAACCAGACATCTTCCCCAGTTATGTCTGAGTTTCCAATGCAGAAAAATGAGTGCTGGGAAACCTATGTTGGACAGGTGAGATAACAGTACAGTTATATAACTTTTTTGTGTTTTAAAATGTTTTCCCAGCCAATTTTCTTTTTTTTTTCTTTCTTTCTTTTTTTGTAGTATTTGATATGTATGGATTAACCCTCAATCCGGCAATCCGGGTTTCTGTTAGATAGATTTCACCTCACTTCCTGTCCCTGTAATGACTTGTTCTTCCACAGTCTTCTTCCAACTTGTCCTCCTCAGATTTTCAGTGATGTTTAAATGATTCCCACCCGGTCTATTGCTCAATGACAGTTGGGTGGCTCTTGCCTGGGAGGCCCCGGGGGTCTGCAGTGTGGCGAATGGTGGTGAGCTGTGCCCCTCGGTCACAGCATATTACCAAATAGGGTAAAGAGCCAATGACGTTGGCTCTTTACATGAGATACGCTGTGTCCAATCTCAGCTGATCACATGTAAACAACGCTGGATTTTGGCATTTCCTTTCCTCAGCACTGTCACTGTCTAAGGAATGGAAAGTTGATCATCAGTGCCCTGACTATCAGTGCAGCCCCAACATTGTCAATGCAGCATATCAGTGCCCATCAGTGCCACATTATCAGTGCAGCCTCATTAGTAACCATCAGTGCAGGTTATCAGTGGCCATCATTTTTGCTGTGTGCTGTGGGTCATTGTCATGTTGGAAGGTAAACTTTCTTACCATTGACAACTTTCTGGCAGAGGGCAGCAGATTTTCTTCACGAATTTGACGGTATTTTGCCCCATCCATTTTTCCTTCTATTCTGGCAAGTGCTCCAGTCCCTGTTGCAGATAAACCCCCCATAAAAGGATATTACCATCTCCATGATTTACTGTAGGAATGATGTTATTTGGATAGTGAGCTGTATTGGATTTCCGCCAGACAGATTTTAGTCTGATCTTACCAGAACATCTTTTTCCATGTGGCCTCAGAATCTTTAAGTGCGTTTGGCAAAGCTCAGTGGTAACTGCATGTGGTCTTTCTTGAGGAGTGGCTTTTTTCTTGTAACCCTCCCATACAAAACACATTTGTGAAGAATTTGTGATATTGTTGTCACATGCACATAATGACCACTCTTTGTCATAAATTCCGGTAACTGCTTCAGACCTGCTGTAGGCCTCTTGACAGCCTCTCTGATCAGTTTCCTCCTGGCTCTTTCATCCAGTTTGTAGCGATGTCCTGATCCAGGGATTGTCTGTGTTGTACCAAATACCCTTCACTTCTTAATAATAAACTTCACTGTCCTTCTAGGCATTGATAAAGCCTTTGAGATTTTTTTTTGTATCCATCTCCTGACTTGTGCCTGTCCACAACTTTATCCCAGAGATCTTTTGACCGTGCCTTGCCACCCATAGTTTGTGTTTGCTTCAGCTGCTCTACCAGGGACTGAAATGCTCCAGGAAAGCTCTTTTCATGCTGAGATAAGCAAAATTACCACAACTGATCATAGTTTTAAGTCACATGGCTTTGTGTGCTATTGAGAAGGTGATTAGCTATACCTGACTGACTTTACAAATCATTTTTAGGAGGGAGCTAATCCTTTTTCCAACTCAGTGATTTTTCTTTTGAATTTTTTTCTGATATGTTGGTGTTATATCTTTTACTTGGATGTAATAAATTGCACTGACTAAATACAGCTGGATAAAACAAAAACACTGCAAAGCAACACAATGGGATTATTTTAAAGGGGGGGTGATTCTTTTCTATACCCTGTGTGTGTGTGTGTGTGTGTGTGTGTGTGTGTACACACTGTATATTCAAGATTTTAAACACGACATAAAAATCTGACTGAAATGTTAACTATTTTGCATTCTAACCAAAATGTAAAAAAAAGCAAAGAATAAAAATACAAAATAGGATATCACGGTGCTGAAACGAATAGGCTTTACCATTATGATATTCCTTTTCAGGAGATGCTGAAACTTTCCATAATTGATATGATTTTCACCGTGGCAAGTATCCTCCTTATTGACTTCTTTCGTGGCCTTTTTGTCCGGTATATGAGTGATTGCTGCTGCTGGGATCTAGAAAGCAAATTTGTGAGTATATTACAACAATTATTTTTTCAACCCTTACAGTAATTATTTATTGCTGATTTAGTAAAAAGCCTTCAGCAATATTCTCAAGTTGCTTCAGCAATAAACCTTGCCATAACTTTATCAGAGAAATTACACTTCAGTTGATAATACATGGGGGTTGATTTACTAAAACCGGAAAGTGCAAAGTCTGCTACATCTCTGCGTAGAAACCAATCAGCTTCCAGGTTTTATTGTCAAAGCTTAATTGAACAAGCTGAGGTTAGAAATTGATTGGCTGCCATGCACAGATGCACCAGATTTTGAAGTCTGTAGTTTTAATAAATCAACCCCATAGTGCCTTCAGTACTACTACAGAAAATATAATGGCCATTCAAAGAGTAGTCATGACCACAATAGATGTCCGGTCTCAGCCAAGGACAGGCCATGTCATGGTTTGACCTGTAATGCATCATCTATTCTATAACATGCCCATAGGTAGCCTTATCAATATGTCTCAAATTCTCTATATTGCTCTTACCAATCTATCAAACTCATCCTGGATAGGGATTATGGGATTTTTTTTGTATCTGACACAAATTATTTTTTAACATTTATTCGTTGTGGCAGATTTAATAACATCCAGCAATATCCTCAAGTTGCTTCTTGCCATAACCCTATCAGTGAAATTATACTTCAGTTGCTATTGCTTACAGCCTTCAGTGCTGCTATAGTGTATATCATGGTGATTCAAAAAGTAGACGTGGCCACAATAGTTGTCAGGTCTCAGCCAGGGACAGGCCAGGTCATGGCTTGAGCTGGAACGCATCATCTATTGTATAACATGACCATATGTTGCTATATCAGCATGTCTCAAATTCTCTGTATTGCTCTTAGCAATCAATCAAACTCCGTCTGGATAGTGAGTGAGAATATGGGATTATTTTTTTATATGACAAGAAATTATTTTTAACATTTATTCATTGAGGCAGATTTATTAAATAGCCTCCAGCAATATCCTCAAGTTGCTTTAGCCAACAAGTCTTGCCATAACTCTATCAGTGAAATTACACTTCAGTTAATAATATGCAGTGCTTTCATTGCTGCTACAGAACATATCATGGTGATTCAAAGAATAGACATGGCCACAATACATGTCAGGTCAGCCAAGGACAGGCCAGGTCATGGCTTGAGCTGCAATGCATCATCTATTGTATAACATGGCTATAGATGGGCTTATCAGCATGTCTCAAATTCTCTTTATTACTTCTAACAATCAATCAAACCCACCCTGGATGGTGACAGTGGGGGATATCATTTCTAATTCCATACGTTTCAGTTAAATTATGTCCTTGGATGAAAACATTCCCATAAATCTACTGCTATTAGAGTTTTAGAACTCTGCACTAGTTCCATCTCCCAGAGAAATAATATCCTGAACATATAATATGCTGCTGCTAGAGCGGCAGACTCTTTTCTAAGATTTCATTGAGACTGCCTTGTCTCTCCATAATTATTTAATATGCGTGAATGTGATGTTGTGTATGGAGATCATTTCTTTGTCTCTGTCATCACTGCTGAGCATCGAAGGTTATTACATTAGATTATATTTGGTTGTTTAACAAGACAATGAGATATAATGCAATTTGCCTGTTTGATGACTGTGGTTAACCCCAGCTGCACAGCGATGTCTTCCAGTGTTGGGATAAACCAAATAAAACTCTACTTCTCTGCATTAGCACTTACATTTAAACTTTTCATTGTTTAAATATCTTCAGCCAGAATACGGTGAATTCAAAATTGCTGAGAATGTTCTGCATCTGGTCTACAATCAAGGAATGATCTGGTACGTACATTTATACAGGACCGGAACGTAAGACTTAGAAATGTATTTTAAGTGGAAGTTCACCCTAGAATTGCTCTATGAACATTAAACAGCCATATAACACATGTGCCTTAATACATGCATAGCACCATGCTTGATATTTGTCCACGCTCTAGTTGTCCAGCAATCAGCATTGGAAAGTGCCAGCCATTTACCAGTGACACCATGCAACTTATGGGGGAAGATATACTAAAACTGGTGCACACAGGATCTGGTGCAGCTGTGCATGGTAGCCAATCAGCTTCTAACTTCAGCTTGTTCAGTTAAGCTTTGGCAATGAATCCTGGAAGCTAATTGCTTTCTATGCAAAGCTGCACCAGATTTTGCACACTCCAGTTTTAGTAAATAACCCCCATGATGTCTCTCAGTCCTCCCCTCATACGCTCTGTCTTTGACAGCATCAGGGCACAGAGGAAGTGTTTCCCAATCAGACTTTGCAATCACAACACATAGACATGGGGAAGGGAGTCTGAGTGACACCATGAGTTGCATGGTGCCACTTGCAAATGGCCCTCAGTTTCCAATGCTGATTGCTGGATTTCTGGATTGCTGGTGCTATAGATTTATCAAAGTACTTGTGTTATATTGATGTATAATGTTCCTACAATAATTCTAGGATAAACTTTCATTTAAAGGTAATTATCTTTTGCCGTGAACCAATATTTGCTATAACAGTTATCTAGGACAGTGGAACTTAAACCTTTTTATGATTACAGAACCCCAGTGGATTGCTTGATATGTATACATATCCTCTTGCTATATGGTCAAAATTATCATCACCAGTCAAGTTCAATTTGCTACCAGTGTGACTTCTGAAGATGTGTATATCTTGAATTACTTTACATAGTGATAGCTCAGAATAGAAAGTGGAGAAGTAGTGAAAGTGGTGAAGCTTTGCTGTGCAAAGAACACCCAACCACATGCAAGGGAAAAAAAAAACAGTTTTTGCTTGCACATGATAGTGATATATTACTCTGTGCCACTGAATAAAAATAAAAAAATGTGAAAAAAATGTGACAAATGAGTATAATGCATAAATAAATCTCCTATAGCTGCCGCAGTCTAAAAAAATGTGTTTACGTGTTAAAACATTTGTAAACAATATATATGTGAGCAAACTGCGCTGCTAAACTAAAAAATGTGACAGTGATCAATCACACCATAATTTTAAATGCCAGCTTAATACATGTAAATCATAATATCGAAGGAAATAAAACCACAAAAACAGAAAATAAAATCCAATAAAGTCCTTACAGTGTGTGTTGCTTGTAGTCCAACAACTGTGCTCAGGCGCCCATGCTGTTATAGACAAGTAAGACATGTGCCCACTTATCAATGTGCTCAAAGTGACCCCATATGGATTTACTCACCACCGGGGATTGACCTTCTAACCAGACAGCTCACTCTGCACATTTGGGACAAACCCACTGTTTAACATTACACACATACGCAATTCAGGTATCTCAAGGTTCAGATCCTCCTGGTGTTAGGCACTGCCACTGATTAACCACTTGTCCTCCAAAAGATTTACCCCCCCCCTTCATGACCAGGCCATTTTTTTGCTATGCGGCACTGTGCTACTTTAACTGACAATTGCACGGTTATGCAATGCTGTACACAAATGAAACGTATATTTTTTTGTCTCCACACAAATAGAGCTTGATGGTATTGATCGCCTCTGAGTTTTTTATTTATTAAGAAAAAGGACAGAGAATTTAGAAAAAAGAAACAATAATGTTTTACATGCTATAAAAACACATTCCATAAAAAGTAAAAAAATCAAATCTATTAACACATTTTGGCCACATATCTTTGGTAAAAAAAATCCCAGTAAGTGTATATTGAACAGCTTGTGTCAAAGTTAAAGCATCTACAAATGTTCAGCGACTTATAATGGGACTTATAATGGGACTGTGATAGTGCAGCTACCAATCTGACACTAACTGACACTTTGTAGGAACTAACTGCCACTGACATCACCAGTGCCATTATTACAGTGATCAGTGCTATGCATTGTCACTGTACTAATGACACTGTGAAGGAAGAGGTTAACATGTAGCGTGATCAAGGGGTTAAATATGTGCCTAACCAGTGTTTGTGTGTGTACTGTGTGCTTCCTTTACTAGATGTCTAGTTGTTTTCATTCCCTGATTTGCAGGGAATGAAAAAACAATGAGATCCCTTATCACTGAGCACAGCTCTGTGCTGTTTACAGTCATAGAGCTGTGTTCCGTGAGAGTGAGCTAATCGCCCAGTGGTGGCGGTCAATCACTGGCCGGGACTCGGTAATTGGCATGTGCTGTGACAAAGCACAGCATGGGGCGAGCGAGCGGGCGGGTGTGCCGCCTACCTGGAAATGTGGAAACATGTATATATATATATATATATATATATACACGTGATTCTACACAGAGCAGCCGACCTGTAGCAGGAAAGCTACATGGCTGACTATATGGAAGAAAAATATATTTGAAATATATTTTAAAAATAATCTTCTCATATATTTGAAATGCAACAATTTTGGCCATATTCAATATATTTCAAAATATATTTCAATAAATATATATATATATATATATATATATACACACACATACACACTTTTAAAAATACAAATCTACATTTTTGGAATGCATTTACAAATATATGTAAACATATACAGTATGTTAAAATGACCTTTTTTTAACATGCAGTATATTTATTTAAATATATTTAGAAATATATTGAATATGGCCAAAACTGTAGCATTTCAAATATAAGGCAATATATTTGGGAAGAATATTTTTTAAATATATTTCAAATATATTTTTCTTCCATGTGGGTGGTCGGCAAGTAGTTAAAGTGTACAGAAGCCTGTCAACACAGGATCTTATATAAGGCTGGTTTCACGAGGAGCTTTGACTTGCCACCATCACTATACTGTAGTGTAGTTGCAACTTGTAGCTTAGACAGTGCTTCCTCTTCTCTGTCTTCATAAGTAATCTCATTCATTACCCTCTGTTCCTTCGAGCAAAAAAGTTGTGCTTGTTCTACTATATTTTGTGGATACACAGTGCAAAGTTATGCAGTGGGCTTGTGTTGACAGGCTTCTGTTCATGTTTTTCAGTGGCAGTGTATAACATCAGGAAGATCTGAACCTTGAGATTTCTGAATCATGTGGTTGGTGCAAAGTTATTCAGTGGGCTTGCCCCAAATGCACAGAGTGATCTGTCTAGTAATAGAAGGTCAATCATTTGTGGTGAGTGTAAATCCATGTGGGGTCACTCTCAGCACATTGATATTGAAGTGGGCACATGTCTTACTTCTCTAAAAGAGCACAGTTGTTGGACTACAAACAACACACAGTGGGACTTTTTTTGGACCATTGGACTCTATTTGCTATTTTTGTTTTATTTCCTTTGATATTATGATTCAAGCATAGTAAGCTGGCACATACAAATTACAGAGTGATTGATCACCATATAATTTTTTAGTTTAGCAGAACGGTTTGCTTGCACGATTGTATGATGAACGTCAGCAGAGCTTTACTATATTCACTAAGCTCTAGGGAAAATTCTCTTGCAAAGTACAACTTCCCTTGCAAAGTCTATTAGCCTTATATTAATCAACCTACTCAAGTCACATCCAATTATTCAGAGGTCTTCTCCCATACCCCCCTAATTTGGTTGCTATATGACATCGCCACTAGTCCTACTAAATGTGTACGTTTCTAAAATATTGGCCTTGTCCACAGAATAGTCATGGTACATTCACATCCAGGGCCCAGATGTATTAGTACCCAACCAATAAAAATATTTCGCCATTGTCTATGAATCCCAAAATGGGGCACTGGTGTACTTTAAGTGACATATTTATACTACCTGTTGGGACATCCAGTCAGAGATTTATTGTTCTCTCTTTTCAGGATGGGGGCATTTTTCTCTCCGTGTCTTCCAGCATTTAATGTGTTTAAACTGATAGGCTTGATGTATTTAAGAAGCTGGGCAGTGCTGACCTGCAATGTTCCACATCAGCAGGTTTTCAGAGCTTCAAGGTCAGTAGCTAAGAGCTTGAATGAACAATCGCTTTACACCTCGGGCTATTCACAATGATAATTATGTGACAGAAACATATAAGTCCAAATTTTGGGAAGGGCATGCTGAACTTGAAAGTTCTCAAAAATGTTCTTTAGGTAATTATTCCTTTAGTGAGATTTGACATATTACAGGTATATTTAAACATGATTTTAGCATTTAAAAAGCAGACTTTACATGAAGATTGGTTTAAAGTGGAAGAAAACCCTGATCATTTGTAGACAGAGTCCCTTGATGTCAACTTCACAATATATCCGCAATACAAATCAGAAGCACCCTCTTACAGCAAACATAGTCCTTAAATAACTTCCATGCATCTACACATACACTGTGAATATATATATATATATATATATATATATATATATATATATATATATATATATACACACACACACAAAAACATACACGCTATATTGCCTCCGACAGTTGAAACCGGAGAAACCAGTCGGGCTCATTCATCCACCAGGCCCCTTACAGCTCCAATTTACCAGCATGGAAGGACTTGATAAGTATTGATACACTATCAAGCTATTACCATCTGACTGTGATTGTATAACAGCTAGCCCACTCCTCCCTTGGATTTCATTAAAGCAGTAGTAAAGTCAAATTCATTATTTTAAAGAATGGTCCCCCATGCAGAATTAGGTCATAATGTACTATTATGCACTGCATACTAATACAGTATAACCAGGGGCAGACTGACCATTCGAGCACTCAGGCACTGCCCAAGGTCAGTAGGGGGCCCCATGAAATGCCACTGGTACCTTTTATAGGCTTTTTTTTTAGTGTGGGCAAGGACACAGGGGCCCCATGATCCCCTATTGCCCGGGTGCCCCATGAGTTGCCAGTTCGCCCCTGAGTATGACAGACTTACCTGCAGACGCTGCCCTGTCACGGCTCTCGCTGGTCCCCGTGGCTTCCATCTTCACCTGGTATTCCTTCTGGGCTCCATATCATCAGCTGCTTGAATGGCCAAGCTACAGTTGACATCACTCCCGTGAATGAGCACAGAAGTCACATCACCGTGGCTCACACAGTGCACCATAAATGTGGTCTGAGCCGCATAACATGTTACCTGCTGACATGCAGGGGGGGGGGGGGCATTTACGACAGAAGACACATCTGCCTGTCAAAAGATTTTAGATTTCAGGACTTTACTATCACTTTAATACAGCCACACCTTTTTCCAGTGGTTTGGATCATCCTGTTTGAACTTTACCATAATGGATTTACACTTCCAAATAAGCTGGCAGTCCTAGTTACACTGTATTACATGAGAAATATACAGTATAATAATATAAACTCAATTACAGGATTAAGAATTACAAAATATAGGGACCGGAGGGATGTTTTTTTAATAGTGTGTTCATGTTTAGTGTAGGTTAAATGTGATTTTAAAGTGAATAATAAAGATATTGTGAGTACATCGGTCAGGAATTGTCTGATTGTCCAGTTACGCATCATAGGTTGGATATTTTAAGAGAATGGGAAGGTTAAGACTAAATCTAATTTTAATTTGATATTCTTCACCTCAGCAGAGAGACCACTGCTTTCGCACAGAGAGCAAGGTTGCTTTTCTGCAGCATGCAGGCAGGAAGCAGGCTTCTCTACTCAATCTGTGGCTTCGATCTAAAAAAAATCAAACAGTAGGATTTGCACACTTTTCATTTTTAACCCCTTCCCACCGAGCCTCTGCATTCCTTTAACAGGGTGTTTGCACCCGGAGAGGAGTGAGAATGACTGCCTGATCATGTGACCACTGTGATTGGCTGTCAGCTCCCTAGAGACTGGGAGTTGTCTAAGACAGGTCAATCAATGTGCTGGGAGTATGAAGTGAACGCACTCTCACCACAGCAAGCCCATATGCGTTTAGTAGACGCCAAGAGGTAAGTGCATGAAAAATGTTTAGCTAAATAGACTGAGAGTTCAGTTGGCCTTTTAATTCATTTTTAGTCCAGGATGCAAGACTAGACTAGAAAATGTGGAAAAGTCCGAGGATATATTTGTATACAGAGCACTGTAACTAATAACTGAAAATACCACGGTGGCTTTTTCAGCTTTCAGTTTATTTTCAGCGAATTCCAATGACAATTAAAAAATACAGCCATGTTGCTAGAAATAAAGTTCCCTATCCTCTACTCATTCTCATGTTTTAGAATAGCAGTGCAATCTGAAAATTGGCAGAAACTGTGACTAGTTGCTGTAAGGTTATATTTAGAGATCCCAAACACAGCCATTAAAAAAAATAAAGTAACATCTATACTTATACTGGAGTTCTAATCTTGATGAGTATGTGCATGCCTTTATGCCTATGGAACCACTGCATGCTGTCACTACGTGTTCACCCGTGAACAAAGGGAGTCTCCACTAGATGTTCCTGTTCCTAGAAAGGTTCTTGATAACCAAGTATGTAAGCATGGGGCCATGACCCCTTGCAACCGAAGGCCGCCATGACCCAGGGCTCCAAAAAGGAATGAATCCTTACTTTCACTCTTCACTGCCCATTATGTCCTGGGCAACAATAGATAGATAAATGAAGACATTTCAGGAGAGACAGTGCAGACATGAATCTTCTTTCCAGCTCTTACTGACACATACAGGTCCGGATACACTTTACCCTAAAGTTAGGCTAGGAACCCACACAACTGCATTTGCAAGTCATGTTACTGTGTGTTTACAGGTTGGGTTCCTGGTCCGGTGCCATAACTGAGGATTGTATTACAGTTGCCCAAAGAGTGCTTCACAGACATTGTGGACCACCCCACTATCACGACCTTCCATCACCAAGCCACCACTCCCATTCCAACTTGGCTGTTCCTCCTTCCTTCTCCCCTTAGTTCTTCGTTGGCTGCATCTGGCCAAATAAGCAACATTGATTGAATGAAAATCCTGGCCTTCCCTGTCAAAACGCTCCTTCAGCGCAATGCAGACTTCAACTCTTCCATGCCGTCCAAAAGTGGAAAGCTGTCTTGGTACCCAGAGTGCGCTAACTTTTAAAAAATGCAAATCTTCATTAATGATTGTGTTCAGCATTCCCACAGAAAGAATCGTCTCTTGTGCAATTTCACGACAGGTTATGCGTTGATTATCCAGGATTAGGCATTCCATGCACTGAATGTTCACAGGAATGACTGCTGTGGGCTGGGAACCACCACGGCCAGGATTGTCACTGATGGACGTACACCCACCTTTTAAATTTTTACACCATTTAGTTGCCTTACTGCAGCTGAGCATCTCATCACTGTACTGTGCTTGAAGTCTTCTGTAGTTATCTGCAGGTTTTACACATTCATTCGCAAGAAATTTCATCAGCACATGGTGTTCCATGCATGTCATAACACTGTTGTCTGCCATCTTGATCTCTGGACTGGCCCCTGACATGTTCGCCGCCTATCAGTAATAGGAAAAACTTGCCACTTACTACTGCATGTAGTACAGCCACACTAGCATCCCTTTTTATACCTGTAAAATTAAAAGTCCCAGTTTGACTTGAACGCCCCTCATACAAAACATTAGCTGAGAAGGTGAGACTAAGTCTTTCTTCTTATCACTCAGGGGCCCATGAAGATGAACATACAGTCATGGCCGAAATTGTTGGCACCCTTGATATTTCTCCAGGAAATCATGTATTTCTCACGAAACGTATTGCATTAACACATGTTTTGCTATACACATGTTTATTCCCTTTGTGTGTATTGGGACAAAACAAAAAAAGGGAGGAAAGAAAGCAAATTCGACATAATGTCACACAAACCTCCAAAAATGGGCTGGACAAAAGTATTGGCACCCTTTCACAACTGCGGATAAATAAGAATGTTACAAGCATGTGATGCTCCTGTAAACTCACCTGGGGCAAGTAACAGGTGTGGGCAATATAGAAATCACACCTGAAAGCAGATAAAAAGGAGAGACGTTCACTTAACCTTTGCATTGTGTGTCTGTCTGTGCCACACTAAGCATGGACAACAGAAAGAGGAGACGAGAACTGTCTGAGGACCTGAGAACCAAAATTGTGGCAAAATATCAACAATCTCAAGGTTACAAGTCCATCTCCAGAGAACTAGATTTGCCTTTGTCCACAGTGCGCAACATTATCAAGAAGTTTGCAACCCATGGCACTGTAGCTAATCTCCCTGGTCGTGGACGGATGAGGAAAATTGATGAAAGATTGCAACGCAGAATAGTCCGGATGGTGGATAAGCAGCCCCAAACATGTTCCAAAGACATTCAAGCTGTCCTGCAGGCTCAGGGAGCATCAGTGTCAGCGCGAACTATCCGTCGACATTTAAATGAAATGAAACGCTATGGCAGGAGACCCAGGAGGACCCCACTGCTGACACAGAGACATAAAAAAGCAAGACTACAGTTTGCCAAAATGTACTTGAGTAAGCCAAAAGCCTTCTGGGAAAACGTCTTGTGGACAGATGAGACCAAGATAGAGCTTTTCGGTAAAGCACATCATTCTACTGTTTACCGAAAACGGAATGAGGCCTACAAAGAACAAAACACAGTACCTACGGTAAAATATGGTGGAGGTTCAATGATGTTTTGGGGTTGTTTTGCTGCCTCTGGCACTGGGTGCCTTGACTGTGTGCAAGGCATCATGAAATCTGAGGATTACCAAAGGATTTTGGGTCGCACTGTAGGGCCCAGTGTCAGAAAGCTGGGTTTGCGTCCAAGATCCTGGGTCTTCCAGCAGGACAATGACCCCAAACATACGTCAAAAAGCACTCAGAAATGGATGGCAAAGAAGCGCTGGAGAGTTCTGAAGTGGCCAGCAATGAGCCCAGATCTAAATCCCATTGAACACCTGTGGAGAGATCTTAAAATTGCTGTTGGGAAAAGGTGTCCTTCCAATAAGAGAGACCTGGAGCTGTTTGCAAAGGGAAGAGTGGTCCAAAATTCCGGGTGAGAGGTGTCAGAAGCTTATTGATGGTTATAGGAAGCGACTGATTTCAGTTATGTTTTCCAAAGGGTGTGCAACCAAATATTAAGTTAAGGGTGCCAATACTTTTGTCCAGCCCATTTTTGGGGTTTTGTGTGACATTATGTCATATTTGCTTTTCTGCCTCTGTTTTATATTTGTTCCAATACATACAAAGGGAATAAACATGTGTATAGCAAAACATGTGTTAATGCAATACCTTTTTTGTGTGAAATACTTGATTTTCAGGAAAAATATCAAGGGTGCCAACAATTTCGGCCATGACTGTAAGTAGAATCCAGAACACAACAACATCCTGGTTCTTCGTTAGCCTCTCCATCCCATGTGGCCACCCACCTTCAACTCCACCTACCATATATCACAAGAGCATGGGGCATGGAGAGGGCTGAACCACTCAGGTAGGGAGGATTCAGGACATATCAATAACACACCAAGCAACTTAACTCCTTTTTTTCCTGCCTATCACTCTTAATTGACAGTAGTTGCCACAACTTGAGCCCTACTCTTGAGAACCATCATGAACTTGCACACTAGGCCACTATTGTAGTTTCTACACTGCCCAGGACAATTCAGTCTTTTATAAGCTTGTTTAGGTAAATGAGAATAAAGTGAAATTTATATTTCTTTGAGATGTAGGCTTACTTTATAAACAATGGGACCTACCTTGCAATTATAATGGACACAGGTTATCTGCACATATGACTTTCACTTTTGTCTGTTTTTTTTTTTTACAGATCTAACAACTTCTACTTGGCTATGCTGCTTTTCATGCTGTTCCTGTGCATGCTGCCAACAGTTTTTGCTATAGTAAGATATAAGCCATCTATAAACTGTGGACCATTTAGGTAAGACATATTTAGGTGGAACACATCACCTCAACATTTTATTAAAATGTATTCAAAATTTAAACTTTTTTAAAATGTTTAAACATTTTTTGAATGCAGTAAAGAATGGTCAAAGCCCCTATCAAGTTCTGTTCCCTTACTTTCAGGCCCAGAGCAGTGTTTTCTGCAAGTGGGCTGATAGTAGACAGGATATTTCCATTTTTTCTTGGAGCTTCCCTTTAGACCATAGTGCCTTGAAAAAGTATTCATAACCCTTAACATTTTCTACATTTTGTCATGTTACAACCAAAACGTAAATGTATTTTATTGGGATTTTATGTGATAGACCACACAAAGTGGCACATAATTGTTAAGTGGAAGGAAAGTGATAAATGCTTTTCAAAAGTTTTTACAAATAAATATCTGAAAAGCGTGGAGTGCTTTTGTATTCAGCCCCCCGAGTCAATACTTTGTAGGACCCCTTTCACTGCAATTACAGCTGCAAGTCTTTTTGGGGATGTCTCTACCAGTTTTGCATATCTAGAGAGTGAAATTTTTGCCCATTCTTCTGTGAAAAATAGCTCAAGCTCTGTCAGATTGGATGGGGAGCGTCTGTGAACAGCAACGTTCAAGTCTTGCCACAGATTCTCAATTGGATTTAGGTCTGGACTTTGACTGGGACATTCTAACACATGAATATGCTTTCATCTAAATCATTCCATTGTGGCTCTGGCTGTATGTTTAGGGTCGTTGTCCTGCTGGAAGGTGAACCTCCGACCCAGTTTTAAGTCTTTTGCAGACTCTAACAGGTTTTCCTCTAAGATTGCCCATCTTCCCATCAACTCTGACCAGCTTCCCTGTTCCTGCTGAAGAAAAGCATCCCTACAACATGAAGCTGCCACCACCCCATTTTAAGGTGAGGATGGTGTGTTCAGTGTGATGTGCAGTGTTAGTTTTCCGCCATACATAGCGTTTTGCTTTGAGGCCAAAACGTTCAATTTTGGTCCCATCTGACCAGAGCACCTTCTTCCATGTTTGCTTAGTCCTCCACACGGCTTCTGGCAAACTGCAAATTGGACTTCTTAAGGCTTTCAACAATAGCTTTCTTCTTGCCGCGCTTCTATAAAGGCCAGATTTGTGGAGTACACGACTGGACAGATTCTCCCACCTGTGCTGTGGATTTCTGCAGATCCTCCAGAGTTACCATGGGCCTCTTGGCTGCTTTTCTGGTTAATGCTCTCCTTGCCCAGCCTGTCAGTTTATGTGGACGACCATATCTTGGTAAGTTTGCAGTTGTGCCATACTCTTTCCATTTTCAGATGATGGATTGAACAGTGCTCCGTGAGATGTTCAAAGCTCTGGATACTTTTTTATAACCTAACCCTGCTTTAAACTTCTCCGCAACTTTATCCCTGACCTGTCTGGTGTGTTCCTTGGCCTTCATGATGCTGTTTGCTCACTATTGTTCTCTAACAAACATCTGAGGGCTTCACAGAACAGCTGTATTTATACTGAGATTAAATTATACACAGGTGGACTCTATTTACTAATTAGGTGACTTCTGAAGACATTTGGTTCCACTAGATTTTAGTTAGGAGTATCAGAGTAAAGGGGCTGAATATAAAAATGCACACTACACTTTCAGATATTTGTAAAAAAAATATTGAAAACCATTTATCATTTTCCTTCCACTTCACAATTATGTGCCTGTTTGTGTTGATTTTATCACATAAAATCCCAATAAAAATATATTTACGTTTTTGGTTTGTAACATGACAAAATGTGGATAATTTCAAAGGGTGTGAATACTTTTTCAAGGCACTGTAGGTTCACACCTTTCTATTTTCTTTTGTTTTTTACTGCGTTTTTCAATGCAAGTTAATGTGCATTTTACACGTGCTTTCATGTGAATGTTTAATGTGCTTTCATGCATTTTTCATGTCGGTCAATAAAAACCTATTTTAGACCTTGTTGCCAGGCATTAAAAATGCATCTGATGAGAACTTTCATCAAATCAGGGCCCCCTTAGCACAGTGCCCCCATCTCAAAGCCCCCAATTACACAGCCCCCCCAGCACAGAGTTCCCCATCACAGAGTACTGCCATCACATCACTGCCCTCTCATTGCAGTGTCCCACTATAACAAAGCCCCCAAATCACACAGTCCCTCACATCACAGAGCCCCCAAATCACATAATCTCCATCACAGAGCCCCCTAATCTCACAGTCACTCCATCACAGAGCCCCCTTATCACACATTTCTTCCATCGCATTCATTCCCAATCACAGAATCCCCTCTTCACATCCATTCACAGCTCTACCTTTTGGCTCCAGCACAGCAGCAAAGGTCTGGATGTGCAGCAAGTTTGCAGGAGGCGAACTTTCATCCTCTCCTGAATGCTGGAGGTAGCCACCAACACCATAGCAATGAATGATGCCATGCTTCCTGCCCTAGAACACCATTATTATGTTACTGGTGGGTGGCCTTGAAACATGACTTGAAACATGCTTGGGACAAAAGTCCAAAGACAAAAGAAGTTAACAAACAAAACATGTATACTAAACAAAAAAAAAAAAAAGGGGGGGGGGGCAGACTTGATGGATCACTCGGCCTTTTTTTCTGCCATCACTTTTCTATGTTTATAAAAAATTAAGGGACAAGGTGGGGAGGGATAAGATTAGAGAATGGGAAAGGGAGGGGTGGGGGAGCAATGAAAGAGGGGATGGGAATCAGGACACTACAGTCAGAGGTAACTAAGATTTTTAGGTCTAGCATTACAACATAATTTAATACCAATTGTCTCTACAGTGGACAAGAGAAAATTTATGACATCATTTCTGAGACCATTGAAACTGATTTTCCTGCTTGGTTCAATAAGGTGATGAGCTATGTCAGCAGTCCAGTGGTGGTCCTCCCGGCCTTACTTCTTCTCTTGTAAGTAATTCTCACTCCTTGAATGTAGAAATCCATATTTTATGAAATTGAGGATTACTGAAAAACAGTGAATTCAGTTCCTCTGTTGACTTCGATTTCCAGCATTAAAGTGCCCTAACAGAAATGAAATACACTGGGGGTTATTTACTAATACTGCAGCGTGCTTTGTATGTAGCAATGGCTACTACAGTGATTTACAGCTTCACCTACGGCCCTCTGGGTATTAGTTATAGATACTTACATCGAGCCAAGCTAGCAACATGCAAAAAATAAATTCCTAGAATTCTGCTTTAAATAGTTGATCTTGGATATTGCTACCCAACGTACACTTACGAGCATATTTATAAATGAATTAATGTGACTTTCACCAAACATTCGCTGTTGGTAAATCAGTCACCTATTTAACCACTTCAAGTCCAGACACTTTTACCCCCTTCCTGTCCAGGCCAGTTTTCAGTGCTATCACACTTTGAATGACAATTGCGCGGTCATGCAACACTGTACCCATATGAATTTTTTAGCATTGTTTTGAGACAGATAAAACTTTGGTGGTATTTATTCACCGATGGATTTTTATTTTTTTGCTATATAAATGAAAAAGTCCAAAAATGTTGAAAAAAGTGTTTTTCTTATAAAATGTTGAAAATAAATAATCTTTCGTCATAGATCTTGGCCAAAATGTATTCAATTATCTTTTTAGTAAAAAAAAAAAAAAACCAAATTAGTTTCATAACCAAAAAATATAATTTTTTTTACATTTTAATTTTTTTATATTATTACTTATGGGTTTTTGTTTTTTTTTTTAACATACCTGACACTGTACTACTTGTTGGGGGGTGATGAAATTTTTTTTTTTTTTTTTTTTTTACACTAATTGCTTTTACACTCATAAAGGCTGTAAAAGCAATCATTTCTCCTTCTCTCTGGCTGCATTCTTGCAGCCATTGAGAAATACTGTGAGAGCTGTGATTGGTCACAGCTTGTCACATGGTACAAGGCTGTTGTGAATAGCATTGTACCATGTGACCTCTGTGATCATTCACAGATTTCACTAGTAGTAAGCAATGATGTCAGGAAGTGACATCTTGCTTACTACTATTCATGTGATCATTGATTGGCCAATCGGTGATCACATGATCGGGACTTCACACAGAGGTCCCGTACAGAAATCGGTGCTCCCAGGGAGCGCGCACAGCCTGTAAATGTGGGCGCCGTTTATGAACGGCAACCCGCTCCTACACTGCTCCCATCCAGCCCTGTACATGGGTCTGACGGGAAGTGGTTAAAACACATGCACCAGGGAGATTCACCTGCAGTGAATGTTGGGTAAATGTCAGATTTACTGCTTTATGAATATTCCCCTTACAACTGAAAAGAAAACATTTACAAAGTAGCTGACATAATCAATATACCAGCTTGTATTACCTTTTTTCTACCTAACAATGTACCATTAATGTTTTCATCTTTTTATAGTATGTTAATCTATTACCTTCAGAGTATTGCAAGATCCCTAAAATTCACCAATAATCAGCTGAGGGCACAGATCCAGACTGTAAGTAAATACTCAAGAGAACACCGATTTTTCAGTGGACAGTTGATCATATTCCCAGTGTGTTTCATTTTTCAGGAAAGAATGGAAGACAAGAAAAAGGTCTTTCAAATGGCTGTGGGTAAGTTTTATGATTTTATATACATTAAATTTTAATTCAATATGAACTGCCAAAAGAGGCACACCACATAAATATGTCCAAGGCATTTATGTAGTATGCAGTATATAAATGATGTAAACACAAAATAAAGTTGTGCAATGCAAATGTAAAATGACCAGAATGTGTTTCGTGCAAGTTAATAAAATAAAGAAATAGGTGCTATATCGCCACTTGGTGGCAAACTTTAGTAATACAGCAGCAGAAATGTACTTCAAGTCACAGCATATATCCAATGCAAAGCATTATACATAAGTATCTTTAGTAAGGTTTTTTTAAAATTGTTTTGAAATATTAAGTCCTGGTTCACACTGATGCAGTTCAATTTCTATGTGTTTTAAGTGTGATGCTGCTGCAATTTTACACTGCAATTTCTGTTCTGGCTTATTTTGTAACATTAGAAATAGGTATATCTCCAACTAAAATCACACTGCATTTGAACACCTACAGTTGTGTTCAAAATAATAGCAGTCAGACATCACCTGATCAATCACTGTTTTTGGTAGAAATTATATTTCTACATGGCAAACAATTTACTAGCAGGTGTAGTAGAGTAATAGAAATCCAACAGACCCAACAGTCATGACATGCATGCTGCTGATTCTGTGTAATTGAATCACTAATTGAAAGGGGCATGTTCAAAATAATAGCAGTGTGGAGTTCTATTAGTGAGGTCATTCATTCTTTGAAAAACAGGTGGCAATTATTGCCCTTATTTAAGGAAGGAAGGCAGCAAATGTTGTACATGCTGGTTACAGTGCATTTCTCTCTGAAATTCTGAGGAAAATGGGTCGTTCCAGACATTATTCAGAAGAACAGCGTACCTTGATTAAAAAGTTGATTGGAGAGGGGAAAACATATAAAGAAGTGCAGAAAATGATAGGCTGCTCAGCTAAAATGATCGCAAATGCTTTATAATGGCAATCAAAACCTGAAAGACGTGGAAGAAAGCAAAAAACTACCATTCGAATGGCTAGAAGAATAGCCAAAATGGCAAGGACTCAGCCAACAATCAGCTCCAGGAAGATCAAAGAAGGTGTAAAGTTACCTGTGAGTACTGTTACAATTAGTAGACGCCTATGTGAAGCCAAGCTATCTGCAAGAAGCCCCCGCAAAGTCCCACTGTTGAAAAAAAGACATGTGCTGAAGAGGCTACAATTTGCCAAAGAGCACATTGACTGGCCTAAAGAGAAATGGTGCAACATTTTGTGGACTGATGAAAGTAAAATTGTTCTTTTTAGGTCTAGTGGCCGGAGACAGTTTGTCAGACGACCCCCAAACACTGAATTCAAGCCACAGTACACTGTGAAGACAGTGAAGCATGGTGGTGCAAGCATCATGATATGGAGATGTTTCTCATACTACGGTGTTGGGCCTATTTATCGCATACCAGGGATCATGGATCAGTTTGAATACATCAGAATACTTGAAGAGGTCATGCTGCCTTATGCTGAAGAGGAAATGCCCTTGAAATGGGTGTTCCAACAAGACAACGACCCCAAACACACCAGTAAACGTGCAACATCTTGGTTCCAGACCAACAAGATTGACGTTATGGAGTGGCCAGCCCAATCCCCGGATCTTAATCCAATAGAAAACTTGTGGGGTGACATCAAAAATGCAGTTTCTGAGGCAAAACCAAGAAATAGAGAAGAACTGTGGAATGTAGTCCAATCATCCTGGGCTGGAATACCTGTTCACAGGTGCCAGAAGTTGGTTGACTCCATGCAACACAGATGTACAGCAGTTCTCAGAAGCAGTGCGACTACAACTAAATATTCATTAAGTGATTCAAAGGAAAGCAAAATCTTCAAACATTTCTCAGTTTATATAGTGAATGTTTGAGTTTGTAAAGAAGAATACAAACACTGCTATTTTTTGAACAGTCTAATATTCACTTTTCTTCATTTTTTTTTAGAGGAACAACACAAATTTGATATATTTTTCTTCATGTTTTGATTTGGAATAGAATGTGTAGTGTTCCCAATGCATTTGTGTGTATGGAAATAAAAGCGATTAGAAGGATTTTGAGCTTTATTCACTTTTTTCAACACACTGCTATTATTTTGAACACAACTGTATGCATTTTCACTGCTGTTTCCATTCAAGTCTATGGGGATCAAAAACGCACCACCTCACATCAAACATGCACAGGGCCCTTTCGGAAACCGCATTGTGTTTGGAACGCATGGGTGGGAACCACCTCCCTTGACATGCGAATCTATGTTTTCTGGAACGCATCAGATTAGCATCAGCATAAACCAGGGCCTATTGTATCAGGAAAAATAATAAATAGGTCAGCAACATTTTCAAATAACTAAATCTTGTTGGATCTAGGCTGTGGTTTTCATAATAGAATATGTTCAGAATTTTCATAATGATGCAACATTTTTGCCTAAATGGATTTCAGAATTATTCCACCTATTCCTAATCATAGACAGTCTTGGATTGTGGTCTTACACAACTACAAAACCTTGTTGCAGGTGTTCTTATAAAATTGTATCCATGCTGATATTTGTAAAGTAGTATTAGTGGCTCAAACAAACAAAACCTTCTCGAAGGTCCTACAAGCCAATATAAGAAAATGCAGGGTGTATATTGTGTGTATATATGTGTACAAAAACAATTAAAGGAACACTTTGAAAACACATCAGATCTCAGTGGAACTTTACTACGAAAGTCAAACATTCGAACTTAACTAAAGTTCAACCGCGAACTTCGAATTTAATGCAGGTCTATGAGACTTAAACTTGTAAATTCAAAAGTGCCCATTTTGAAGGCTTATATGCAAGTTATTGGCCATACAATGGGTATGGGGACTCAGGTACTGCCCTGAGGGACATAAATCAGTGAAAAAAAATTTCAAGAAGTAACGTTTTTAAAGGGGCAGTTATTTTCCTTGTTTAAAGTAAAAAAAAAAAAATTCCTTTAAATATCTTGAGTGGTCTCCTTAAACCATCTGCAAATTTGCACATCTGTACAATGTAGAGAACCTGCTGCAGCAGGACTAACAAAAAAAAACAGCATGGTGTCCCTCCCCCTAATCATTACCAGACCCTTTGGGGTTTATTTACTAAAGCTGGAGAGTCCAAAATCAGACTCCCTTCTGCATAGAAACCAATCAGCTTCTAACCTCAGCTTGTTCAATGAAGCTTTGGCAATGAAACCTGGAAGCTGATTGGTTTCTATGCAGAAGGGAGTCTGATTTTGGACTCTCCAGCTTTAGTAAATAAACCCCTTTAGGTCTGGTAGGAAGGTTAGAAGGGACCCCACAATAAAAAAAAAATGTTTTAAAAAAGTGTGGGGTTCCCAATAAAAGCCATACCAGGTCATTTAGGCCTGGTAGGACATTTAAAGGGAACCCCTCCAAAAAAAGGAGGGTAGGAGTGTGGGGTCCCTCCTAAATTGCTACCAGACCCTTGATCTGAGCACAGGCCTGGCAGGCCAGGAAAGGGGGGGGGGCTAAACTAGATTTTTCTAAATATGTTTCTCCAGTATTAGTGGCTCTGTAGGATTCACTAGGCTGGTGGGCACAAAAAGGCAGACTATAGGAATACAGACTGTTCACTTAGCTCAGTGAATAATGTGAAGATGTATTAATTTCCATTAGCCAATCATGTAGAAGCAAACATACTGTTTTTTTTAATTTCCTTCGGACATTACTGGATATTAAAAGTGATGACGTACAAAGTGATGACGAAACTGACGTACAAAGCTGTCCACCATACTGCCCCGAACTACATCACCGACCTAATATCCAAGTACTGCCCAGCACGCACACTCCGCTCCTCACAAGACCTCCTTCTCTCTAGTTCCCTGGTCTCCTCCTCCCATGCCCGCCTCCAGGACTTCTCCAGGGTGTCACCCATCCTCTGGAACTCCCTTCCCTAACCCATCAGATTATCACCTACTCTCCTCTCCTTTAGGCGCACCCTGAAAACCCATCTCTTCAGGGAAGCCTACCCCCTGCTAACTTGACCGACCTCCTCCACTCTTCCTACCACTCCATCCCCCACAGCTATCTCCTCCTGTGCCACCATCCCCTCCCTCCTAGATTGTAAGCTCGAAAGAGCAGGGCCCTCAATCCCCTCATGTTTTGTATTGTTATTGTTCTGTCACATGTTCTGTCCCCCCTTTGTAATGTACAGTGCTGAGTGAACTATCGGCGCTTTATAAATACTGTATAATAATAATAATAATAATGAAAGCTCCACCCTATTGACCAAGCTAAACCCCCATTCACTTCGCAAACAAGCAGTCTTGGCTCTTAAATCAATCCCAACGTTTAGATTTACACACACTGATGTACACAAGGCAGGCGTCTTCCAAACACATTAAGGCCTCTTTAAAGCCACATTTGTAGCCGTGTGGCATTTTGGGGGTTTTTTTTTTTTACGGATCTGAAGACAGGTGCATTGTTGTCTATAGACACTGCACACAGCAATGTAAAGATCCATAATGCAGTGATGCGTTCAGAGCTGGGAAAAATAAACTACCCTGGAAATAATAAATGGCAGATGAGGAATGGCTGCTTCATAACAAGTATAACGATTCTCATATAGATATCAGAAAACCTCCTATGATATTTACAGCCTTGGTACCAAAATCTTTTCCAGTGTTGCCTGCGTCTATGCAATAACTCCCTGTAGACTTGAATGGAGCGCTACTCATATTGTAAAGACGCAAGGGGGTGTATTTATAAAATATTTGCATAGCAATTTTCCTAGTGTACGTACATTCATTCTTTGTGATGTTAGCAAAAACAAAGAATGGTATGCTATTTCCTGTGCTGAACGATTGTTTTTCACTGATTTAAAACAGAAAACACCAAATTTGATCACTAGAAAGCACTAAGTAGGATAAGAATTTCCTATGATACATAGTGTCATCTAGTGGTCAAATGTGGTATTTGTTTGCTTTAAATCAATGAAAAACATTCACCCAGTACATGGAATAGTCTAAAACATTCATGTTTTGCCCCATTTGCACAGAAAAAAAAAATGTACATACCCCTTCACTGGGCAATCTGCTATGCACATTAATATTTATAAATACACCCGTACGTCCCTATTCAAGTCTGTAGAGATTTATTGCATAGGCAGCACCAGAAAATATTTTGTTACAAAGACGATGGGGTTGATATACTAAAACTGGAGAGTATACAAGCTGGTGCAGCTGTGAATGGTAGCCAATCATCTTCTAACTTCAGCTTGTTCAATTAAGCTTTGGCAATAAAACCTGGAAGCTGATTGGTTTTTATGCAGAGCTGCACCAGATTTTGCACTCTGCTTTTTTAGTAAATCAACCTGCATGACTTTGAATTTGCTGTTTCTAGAAGTAGGAGGTATGTAAGTACCTGGTTTGGGAGGAGGTAGCAGCATAGATTAGGTTTATTGGGCTAAGGAGGGTGGACTTTTTTTTTTTTAAAGTTAAGTTAGTCCTCACCTGTACACTGAGCTTTCCAGAAAGAAAAGTAGTTCAGTTATTTAAATGCCAAAACACAAATAATATTTGCTCAACAAAAGTTGAAGTCAAGTTTTTTTTTCCTAAATCAGGCGCAAGTTTAGAAACCATGCGCATCTGAAAAGGATGAAATATCATTAAACTCAAAAAAATTGGATACAACTAGTAATAAAGTAATAAAATAACAATGGTTGGTTAAATCTTTATCAGGCTCTCAGTATGAATGCCCAAATTAATAAAAAAAAAAAAAAAAAAAGGTTGAAACAGGTAGAAGGTCACAGTTTATTTTCTTATACATACATACATATTAATCAGAATGCATACTCTATAGGATATGTGATGTACATACCTCTGTGTTACAGCCCGATTCCAGCATAAGGAAGCCCCTGAAAAAAAGCGGGATCCAGAGAGTGACATCATCAGCCAAGAGTCTTCTGTTCATTCATCTACTCCTCGGAAGAATGGAAGCGTGGTGAACTTTGAATCTCCAGGCAGCAAGCGCAGCCAGATACAAACTATCTCCCAATCGGCTCCTCGTGTGGTTGTGCCACAGCCTCCAAATGTTAGTCCAAGCCCTTCAGGGTCCAGGGTGAAACCACAGAGGGCAGAGCAGGTTACAAACAGGTATGTCCATTGTGTTGTAAGGTTATTTCAACACTATGCCTAATTATAGAAAAGAAGTGGAAAAATAAAACAAAGTACAATTATTATGTGCTGTTATTATTGTTTATTTTGTTAAAAAAATTATATAGGAGAGTTAGGGCTCATGTACACTGCAGCTGATAAACTGACGTTCAGGAGCTGTTCAGCATTTTTTTCAGCAGCCCCTGAACTCTCCCTAATGTTTTCCTATGTCTCCATGTACACATCGTCGTTTACAGTCATTTACAGGCAGTTGAGTTTACAGTCTTTTTTTGAATGCACCAAACTTGCATTCAGGAGTAGATTTTACTGGTGTTTCAAACGCCAAATGCTTGTAAACGTGTGTAAACGCGGTTAACCAGGTTTATAAGCGTTTGCGTTTAGAAGCGTTTTTTTAACTGTTCCATATCCAGATGCTGTCCAGAGCCTTTTTTTATCATCAGAAATGCATGCAAAGTGTTTTCCATGTTTTCAAATGGACCCGGTACACCAGCGCAGTCAGTTCTAGGTTTCGCATGAAGGAAAAAGAAAAGTAGAACGTGCCGCATTATGCTCATGATGGGATCCATAGTGAATACAACCAGAAATGACAGCTAATCTCAACACCTACTGCTCTCTCTATTGCTCTCAAAATGTCTGAAATAGTTAATTATTTACTATTTTTCAGTGCATTCTGAGCATTTGGGGAGGTCTCCTGAGGTTATCTTTTAAAAACACTTCTGAACGCAAACGCGCATAAACGCAGTATGCAAACGTGGCTAAACTGGCGTTTTTTAACTTACGTTTTCCAGCAGTCAGTTTCCATCGTTCAGAAGAGTTTTCCAAACGCCCCGTGTACATGAGCCCTTAGGGTTAAACACATATATGTGGACCCGGAACACTGTGCTGTCATTTGCTGCTGCACAAGCCAATCAGTAGGTCCTGGCCAATGATATATGGCTCAGTGAATGATAGAAGAGAGCCCTGTCTTGGTAAACACAGTATGTTTATGGGCTGTTTTTTTTTTTCTCCCTGCAAAGAGGGAGTAAAAACCGGCACATTGCTTAGTAAAACAGCACACAATACACATACGAAACATTGTTTGGCACACATTTAACCCCTTGATTGCCCTAGATGTTAATCCCTTCTCAGCCAGTGTCATTAGTACAGTGACAGTGTATATTATTAGCATTGATCACTGTATTAGTGTCACTGGAGATGTCAGTGACAGTTAGTTCCCACCCAGAGTTAGTTAGTGTCAGATTGTCTTCCGCACTATCAGGCCCACTATAAGTCCCTGATCACCATCATTACTACTGTACAAAAAAAAAATGCAAAAATTGCAGTATCTATAACATAGCTTGAAGACACTATAACTTTCATGCAAACCGATCAATATACACTTATTGGGATTTTTTACCAAATATATGTAGAATACATTTGTCAAGAAATATGTATTTTTTTATTTTTATTGGATATGTCTTATAGCAGAAATGTAAAAAAAAATATAGGTTTTCTTTCAAAGTTTTGGGTCTTTTTTCATTTAAATCTCAAAAAATAAAAAACCCAGTAGTGATCAAATGCCACCAAAAGAAAGCTCTATTTATGTGAAAAAATATAAATTTTGTGTACAGCATTGCATGACCACGCAATAATCAGTTAAATTGGCGCAGTGCTTAATAGCAAAAAGTGGCCTGGTCATGAAGGGGGTAAAATCTTCTAGATCTCAAGTGGTTAAAGAGTACCTTCCACTAAATTCTCTTTCACTTCTTCCCGCCTCCCTTGTACATAATTATCCACTATTTTTTGTTCCCTTTTATAATCACCTTACTTTATATACCTAGTGATTCTACTTCCTTTTCTTCATAATATTAGAGTGGATGTAATGCTCTTCAATCATCGTACATCTCACCCACTTGGGTCTAAATTATAACTTTTATTTAAAAATCAAGTTAACCTTTTGACGCCAGTCGCACACATATGCGGCCACTCAGCATTTGGGCCTTAACGCCAAGCAGCCACATATATGTGGCTCTGTTAACACTACACACAGTGCTGAGAGCATGCTCCCTGTAGGGAGCCAGCATAATAGCTGGAGGTGATCAGTAAGCTCCCGATTCATGCTTGCAATCGGGAGCTTTCTGATCATGTGACCACTGTGATAGTCAATCACAGCAGTCACATGACCTTAAGGCCCACCTCCCAGCTTTTAGAACCCTGAGAGAGAAAGGAGACGGTCAACGTCAAGGGGTTAAAAATACGTTTTAATATCAGTTTCAGATGTTTTAAAGCCAACATGACTTGATACCAAAATAGCCAATTGCCATGTGGCATTTTTGACACTTAGGGCTCATGTATACTTGCTTCGACTTCAACACACATTAAAGTGCCTACCACTTCAACATGCTATTTTAATGCGTTTTTGATGCTTCAATTATGCTTTTCTGGATCTTAGCAAATACCCTGTGTGTGTTGATTTTCTATTTGTTTTAAATGGGGCCCAATAGAACTCCAGCTCAGTAGTACCCCCAGTCAGCAGATGCCTACCTCATTAGTAGCCCTGTTCAGCAGATCCCCAGCTCATTGGTACGCTCATTCAGCAGATCCCCAGCTTGTTAGTACCCTTGTTCAACAGATCCCCTGCTCAGTAGTACCCCCAGCTCTGCTGATGCCCCACTCAGTAGTAACCCCATAGCTCTGCTGATGCCCCACTCAGTAGTAACCCCATAGCTCTGCTGATCCCCACTCAGTAGTAACCCCTAGCTCTGTTGATCCCCATTCAGTAGTAACCCCCAGTTCTCCTGATCCTCTGTTCAGTAGTAACCCCCAGCTCTCCTGATCCCCCACTCAGTAGTAACCCCCAGCTGATTCTTTGGTTTGCTTTTCTTCCTCTCTCACTCTGGTCCCCGCTCACCCCGTTATATTTCTTCCACGTTGCACAGCATGTGTGACATTGTTAAATTCTCCTTTACCCGATCCTCTACCACTCAGTCCTCTCTCTTCGGTTCCTGAATGGAAGCTGTTATAGCCACAAAGTGGGGGGAGGTGTTAGGGCTTAGTGGCAACATGCCTATGATTTGGAATTTGATGTCTAAAAAGCTCATCTGGGTATTATTGTCAGGTGTTCACAAACCTTTAACTATATAGTGTATGAGCAGTTACTTCTGAAAGCATAACCCGTTATACAGTGAAAAGGGAAATAGAATACAGAGACAGAATGGCCTTTTACATACTATATATAAATATTGCATTTATATCCAATATATTATTTTCCTCAGTAGTACACATATTTTAAAATTAAGACCAAAAGTGGCACTATTAGCTTTAAATCTGGATGGAATGGTTCACCTTTTGGTTTCCCAGTGCTTCCTGGGATATCTCATACCTACAATACCTCCAAAACAAAAGCCACAGAGGCTGCAAGCGAGCTTTGTCACAGATTTCTATGGAGGCTTTGAAGTGCCAAGAAAGCGACATGGGGTATAATTTTTGAAGCAAAGCAAAAACAACGAGTAAACAGGACTGTAAGCCAACCATTTTATTTAGTGACAGGGACAGGGTGATTGGCATTTAGAACACTTTAAAAAAGCTTGTCCAAAACCACATTTTGAAGCACATGTAAATAAGCCCTTAGGCTCTTTGTCATTTTATTTACACTAATCACCTCTGGCAAAGCCTCTTATCTGGAGGTGCCAAAGTTGGCACAGGCCATGTTGGTTTTTAAAAGATATGAAACTAATATTAAAACTTATTTTCACTTACATTTTTTAAAATAAAAGTTATATATTAGGCTCAGGTGGTGAGATGTGCCCTGATTCAAATCCCCACACTGCTGCCATTTGAACATTGGTTACAAATGGTTACTTGTAATCAGAATACCTTATCTAATATTTACTTCCTTTTCCTTGCCTAGCTGAAATTATATAGCCCCTCTATACCCCCAGCTTCCTGGAGTACATATCATGCATCCAAGAAAGCTGCAGGGCCGTAGGTGCCAAATTCTTATGTAATCTCCTGACACTATGGCATTTTGAAATTGGAAAGACATGGAGCCAGATCTCACATATGTGCAGATGGAAATTTGACCATGTATCCCAGGAAGCCAAGGGTGGAGACCTCCCAACACTATGGCGACATGTAATGTAAAAGACATGGCAACTGATCTCTGTCTGTGCATGCACGAGATCTGGAACCAGGTGATCAGGGGGCTAGTTGCAAGAACCAGAAGAAGATAACAGGCTTCCCATGACAAAGAAAACAAGAATGGCGGCACAGGAAATGCAGTGGAAGAGCAGCAGGGGAAAAAAAAAAAAAAACATAGGATTTGCTGAGCTTGTATGTTTATTCTAGATAAACAAGCATATGGTGAATAATGTTCATGGGGCAAGGCCTGATTTAATATCTACCTGGAGTTTATAACTATTTTATTTCATTTTTTTATAGTGACATAGCCTTGTTAAAAAGATACTACATCAGGAACAGAGACAACTCTCACAGATCTACTACATATATTGAGAATTTTAGCAAATTTTATCTGGCATTTTTACCTGCTTCTGGGACTATTCCTTTGGATTGATCATTTCAACATTAAAGTTTAACTTTAGATGTTTTTTTTAATAACTTCTATAAACATTTTCTTTACTTAGTTTTGCAAACTTACAGTGCCTTGATTGCTGCCAGGTCTTCTACAGTATATGCCACCATTTCGGCTATTATTATTGTTGTATAGTATAAAGCAGTCATTCTTAACCAGGGTTCCTTTAGAGATTTCAAGGGGTTCCTTGAGCCGTGGCCAACTGACCTCACATTAGATGGTGCCTCCACAGTTTCAGGCTGATGATCTTTTTAGCTTTCTGTATTGGGGAGTGTGGTCTTCCGCTTGGCCCCAATTGTAAATGGGAATTTTCCCAAAGATCACCAATGAATTAGTTTTAGCTAAGGTTTCTCGAGACCTGAAAAATATTGCAAGGGTTTCTCTGGTGAAAAAAAGTTGAGAAAGGCCGGTTTATAGTGTATGATTATAGAGTTATATTTTTAATATCTAAGGATGCAATGCAATGTTAATATAGATGCATTAATATGATTTAATTTTTAGGCCTCCCAGTATAAAGCAAGGAAGCTCCAGTGAAGTCTGCAGAACCAAGAATTACCATTCATCTGGGCTAAAGAAACAAACAGAGAATGCTCTATCAGAGCCTCTGTTCAGGAAAGGCCTGAGACATGTTACACCTGAACGTCATGGGACCAGTACACCAAGTATTCTCCCTCATCGGCCACACGCAAGATATTTTATAGTTAATGAGCATGAATCTCATAAGAAACTCCTTCGTTCCACATCTAGACTGCCAAGACATTTCAGAATGGATGAGTCTGGTGATATAGTAGAGTTATATCCAAGAAATGTTAGAAGGTATGTTGTTCAAACACCGCGTCGATCTCACTCACCACACCTGAGTGAGGAAGAGGAAGATGAACTTCACAGGGACTTAATCCGCAGATCCAAACGCCCTCGCTCACTATCAGATCTCCGGCATAATCCTCGGTTTTACATTGGAGACCGCAATGACAGCCAAATGATATCTGGGCGAGATCTAGCTCGCATGCATGCAATATAAATCCTGGGAAGGGGGCTTTCAGATTGACTCAGAAAAGCCACATCATCGAAAAAAAATAAATCTGAAAAACCTTGACCTTGATGAGCAGTTTGTGGAACACCACCGGAAAGTCAAGTCAAAGCACAAACTTGAATCTTGCCTTACAGAGTCAGACTCAATGTCTAACGCATCCAGCAGTGACCAGCAAAATAGCAGCACTGACCAGTACATCCAGGTCATTCATACAAAGGACAAATACATCAAAAGTGGTGGAAAGTTAACCAAGAAAAAATCAAAAGCCAGTGTGGACTTAAATGCCTCTCCCTTGAATGAACTGATTTGTTCAAATGTCTAGAATTGTAATATTTATTATAAAAGTCATTAAAAATAGCAGTTGGGCCATTTCACAAATATCTAAATTAATATAACTAGTTATAGTGACCTACACACTCCACACTAGTCAGTCATGAATACAAAGCAACCATCCAGGTTAAAAAAAAAAAAAAAAAAGACTTTAGACGTGCAATATTTTTTAAATTCACTTTACATTAATGTGACACTGCATTTGGCTTGGAAACTAGATATTATGATAAAGACATTGAAGAAAAAATGCTAATTACAACACAAGTCACTCATGCAAGAGGTATTGGCCCTTACCGTAACAACTATTTTTATTTTTTCTGCCATCTTAAAGTCCCAAGCACTGAATTTAATTGCCTCTAGTCTGCCTATAACTTCCTATTTGTTCTGCTACAGATAGCTGATGGTTGATTGGAGAAGAGCTTGCAGCTTGATCAATTTTATACTGTACATGATGAAAGCAAATAATGTTAACCAAGGTAATATACTGTGGGGCTGATTTACTAAAGGGAAATAGACTGTGCACTTTGAAAGTGCAAGTGCTCTAGAGCAGGGGTGTAAAACCTGCGGCCTCAGAGTTTAGCATGCAGTCCGGGTCCATCTGGAGAGATGTTGGGGATGCCGTGCAAGCACAGCAGCCACGGCGGTTGACAAAGACAAGCCCGAGCCATGCACTTCTGTAGGGAGGCTGGGGATGCCCTGCAAGCATAGCAGCTGTGGTAATCTGCATTACCATGCCAGGCAAATGCACGCCTGGAGAAATGCCAGGGCTGCCATGTTTGCAATAGCAACAGCAGCAGGATGCAGGGGCACCAGGTAAGTAAATGCTACATGGCCAGATCTAGGGGGTGCTGGAGTGGGCTGCATCCTCCCATATTTCAATTGTTCCCCCCAAAGACCACCATCAACAACCCTCTTTATCTCCCCACACAGCATACATACATACATAGGCTACATTCACACTGCCAAATTGTAGTGGCAGCTCTCAGCGGGTAGGTACAGCTGCAGATGCATTTTGTCTGCGTCCAGCAGTGATCACTGCAGGTAATCGCTGGCTGTGCAGAGAGCCACGAACAGGTGCAGCCACCAGTGAAAAGTGCCATTATAGAGACAGTCGGCGGCCACGCCTACCCGTTGAGAGCCGCAGAAGGAACTGCACATTGGCTATCCTTATTGTTAGTGTATTTTATGTGTGGCCCAATACAACTTACAAGTGGACATAAAAAGTCTACACACCCCTGTTAAAATGTCAGGTTTCTGTGATGTAAGAAAATGGGACAGAGATAAATTATTACAGAACTTTTTCCACCTTTAATGTAACCTATAAACTGTACAACTCAGTTGAACAACAAACTGAAATCTTTTAGGTGGAGGGAAGTAAAAATAAAAAACTAAAATAATATGGTTGCATAAATGCTTTGTTGAAGCACCTTTTGATTTTATTCCAGCACTCAGTCTTTTTGGGTATGAGTCTATCAGCATGGTACATCTTGACTTGGCAATATTTGCCCACTCTTCCTTGCAAAAACACTACAAATCTGTCAGATTGCTAGGGCAACTCCTGTGCACAGCCCTCTTCAGATCACCCCACAGATTTGCAATCAGATTCAGGTCTGGACTCTGGCTGGGCCATTCCAAAACTTTAATCTTCTTCTGGTGAAGCCATTCCTTTGTTGATTTGGATGTATGCTTTGGGTCATTGTCATGCTGGAAGATGAAGTTCTTCCTCATATTCAGCTTTCTAGCAGAAGCCTGAAGGTTTTGTGCCAATATTGACTGATATTTGGAACTGTTCATAATTCCCTCTACCTTGACTAAGGTCCCAGTTCCAGCTGAAGAAAAACAGCCCCTAAGCATGATGCTGCCACCACCATGCTTCACTGTGGGTATGGTGTTCTTTTGGTAAAGTGCAGTGTTGTTTTTCTGCCAAACATATCTTTTGGAATTACGGCCAAAAAGTTCAATCTTGGTTTCATCAAACATTAACTAATTTTTCCACATGCTTTTGGGAGACTTCAGATGTGTTTTTGCAAAAATTAACCCAGGCTTGGATGTTTTTTCTTTGTAAGAAAAGGCTTCTGTCTTACCACTCTACCCCATAGCCCAGACATATGAAGAATACGGGAGATTGTTGTCACATGTACCACACAGCCAGTACTTGCCAGATATTCCTTCAGCTCCTTTAATGTTGCTGTAGGCCTCTTGGCAGCCTCCCAGACCAGTTTTCTTCTTGTCTTTTCATGAATTTTGGAGGGACGTCCAGTTCTTGGTAATGTCACTGTTGAGCCATATTTTTTCCATTTGATGACGACTGTCTTCACTGTGTTCCATGGTATATCTAATACCTTGGAAATTCTTTTGTACCCTCCTCCTGACTGATACCTTTTAACCTCCCTAGTGGTAATCCCAAGTGTGGCTCAGGATTAATTTTCAGTACCAAAAGCAGTAACCCCGAGCCACACTCGGGATTACACTGTAGTGTGTGTAGTGTAACTTACCTTGTTCCTGCGATCCCCCGATGTCCTCCCACTGTGTCCTCCAGCCGATGCCGGCATCCGTCTTCCAGGTTCCCTTCTCTGTGAGCGCCGCGACGTAGGGAGGCCGAACTGGTGGTAGATTCAAAAACATGACATACACACAATACATTGTAATCTGTTAGGATAACATTACTGTATCAAACCATTTCACCTCAGTTTTGTCCCTAGTGCTTTGTCCAGTGCCCTGCCTGCAATTTTAATTTGGAAACTTGAGAACGTCCATGGCATCCAAAAAGCGTCTCTTTAGGTCAAAAGCGCTGCAACACGTCCAAAATGCACATACAAAAACACATCCGGACTGCATTTATATTGCGTGAACTGGCCTTTAAATTATATATCTGTAAGCCAAACGTGGCTTCTGCAAGGCCTGGCCAAAAAGGAGAATCCTGAGTGACATGCACCATCCTGTACATGCTAGGACAGTAGGTGCGTTCCACACTTCCCCATGATCACAAGAGCCAGCGTGGGGCTGTTGTATGGTTTGTGTGCACAAGTGCAGCATGCTCTCGCTTGCACACAAATCTGCAAATGCGCAGTGTGCCCTCCCTTCTGCTGTCACAGCAGCCCAAGCCCAATATACAGTACCTCCTCTCCCTAGTTCATGTTATAAACAGTGCCAATTAATCAGAATGCTACTTTTTGGCCAGGCTTTGCAAAAGACCTACAGGTATGTAAAGTTAAGGAAACTCAATTTCTATACACTGCACCATTATTTCCAACCTACTAGGGCCCCTTGACTGCACAGTAAAACTTACTAAGACGGTGAACTAACCCTTAAGGGCTTGTTCACACTTGCAGCACTCTCTACAATCACAGATTGCTTTTCAGATGATGGTAGAAGAGCAGCTTCTAGGCATTCAGGAGGTGAATGGCTTTTTGTTTTGTTTTTATAGCTCAACAGTGATGTTCTATGTAAATACCACAGCTCAACTGTGAGCCCACCAACTTGGCTCATGGTTGCAGCATGACCTCTATTCACTAGGATGGGTTGCATTTGTCGGTGGTACTGCCCTCTGAACACAACATGGGTATAACGTTTGCCAAGGCCATGGGATGGGTAAGACCCCACTCATGCATTGTATATAACATCTGAGAGGGAGACCCAGATAAGACTGGCCAGAGACTGGGGACTGTGTACCTACAACCAGAATCCATGGGAAGGAAGACTATGGAACCATGGATTAAGGCAATCTCCACTCTGTATTAGATCATCCTCTAAAAACGGGTCTCCAAAACTTTCTAAACAAAGGGTCGGTTTACTGTCCTTTGGACTTTAGGAGGGCTGAACTTTGGCTGGTGATTGTAGAAAATGTTGCAGCATAAAGGGAACTAAATATAAATATATAGTACAGCTCTTCCCTATACAAATCAAACAACTCTAAATGTAAAATATATAGTGAACATGTAACAATCAAAGTGAACATGCATCAATAAGGTGAACATGCACCAATACAAAGTCTCCCAAAATGAATCTCTTCAACTTGAATAAGTGATCTCTTCAACTTGAATAAAGAACAAAACTTCTGTCATTATACAGATTAAATCCTTCACCAAACAACCACCAGATGTGCCCTCACCTATTGTTTTTGACCTTACATCATGTCAGGTCAAACAACGCATGTGTCCCAAGAAGCGGACATGTATTGGTATAAGTATCCAGAGTGCAGGTTCTTCCTCCAGAGATCACCACTCTCCAAATCTCTCCACTCCACATACACGATATAAAAGATAGGAAACACAACAGTGCTCCATCCCCAAAATCAAACTATTCCATTAAAAACTTAAACAGTGGTCAGTCACATTCTTTAGGTGCTCATCGCACCAGATATAATGCACATATAAAAACAACGTTGTAACCATATAAACTCTTCCACTCATCTGCTGTGACAGTGAATCGGCTTGCGTAGTAAGTGTTGTGACGTCATCCAGTCCCTCCCCCACGCGCTGCACCACAGGGTCACATGGCTTCTTCAGAGGGATACGATTGTTCAATTTACATGTACATTACATTTACATTTAATTTTCACGCATGTTATGAGCATGTGGCTGGTGTAAGCTGCTTTCATTAGTTATAGATGATTGATTTAACACGTTATTGCTTGTGAGAAATATTTATATTATAAAAGGGAACTAAACAATACCTCAGGATTTGTAGTCAGTGGGAGTCAAACAATTACATAGCGCCTAATCAATAGGAGGGGGCATAGTGCACCATCATTGGTATTAGTTGGAGGAAAATCACACCATCATTGGTATTACACAAAACACATATTACAATAAATTTTGTTAAAGCTATATTAATGTAGAATTGTGTTTGTATAACTCTACAGAATATGTCAGAGGAGGTCGGTAGGAATAGCACTTGGAAGGAATTTGTCATGAATTGATTGGCCGTCATGTTAACAAATCAGGAGCTATCCATTACCATTTACCACCAAATGAAATACCCAATTTGTCC